AGCCCAGGCTGGCCTCGAACTCACAGAGATCCGCCTGCCTCTGCCTCCCGAGTGCTGGGATTAAAGGCGTGCGCCACCACCGCCCGGCTTCAGAATCTCTTTCTTATATTCCATTTTAGATAAATTATTTATCCTTCCTCTTTCCTGTGATAAAATGGAAATGTTGGGCTAAACTGATTATTTTAAACCCCACCTTTATTCATGATCTTAAATACGATTTTTTGATCACATTTTAGAATAGAATATGTTACTGTTTTTGTCTAATGGGTGTTTACTTATAGAGCTTTGGCCAGTCCTGTAGTATTTTTTATCAGCTGGTTCTGGATAGGAGAGAGACAGAGTTGAGGAAAGGGAGTACGAATTGAGGAACAGAACCAGGTGCTAGTGATCAAAGTGATGCTATGTTTATAGGGACTTAATAACACTATCATATGTTTATAAAACTACCAGTGCCTATCTCTCACCACATTTAGTGATTACTGAAATCCTGTTTACCTACCTACCTACTTACCTACCTACCTACCTACCCTACCTATCTATCTACCTACCTACCTACCCTACCTACTTATCTACCTACCTACCTAGAGCAAGATTTGGTGGTGCTGGGGATATCACTGATAAGGTTCAGTGGGTAAAGGTGCTTGCTGCCAAACCTAATGATGTGAGTTCGATCCCAGGAATCTACATGGTAGATGCACCTGAAAGTTGTCCTCTGACCTCCACTTTCACACTGTTCATGTAGAGTGTGTGCAGATACAGACACAAAGTCAATAAAAATATGTAAAATTTTTGAGAAAAGATTTCTTTCATGTGTGATTTTCATATGTAATGAGTAGGCATAGAATACAATTTTTGCTGTCTCTGAGGTCCTTGTGATTGGAATGTACTTTGCAGAAGACTGCTTAGAAGCTATGCAGTATGACATAGCACTTGGGTAAGGGTTAGAAAGACTGGATTCTAGTTTCAAATCTATGATTTGCTTGTTTGAACTTTGAGCTCCAAGTTTTATATCTGTATCTAAAATTATTTGGACAGGACCTGAACACAGTAGATATTTTATTAAATGCCTAATAAATGCATAAGTGAAAAAGAAAAACATTTGCACAGCCTACTTTTGTTAGTTACTACAAGGTCAAAATTTCAGAAAACTGTTTGCAATAACTTCTTTCTCTACATGTGTTTCCTTGTTTTTTCTTTTTAAATAGCTGCTGGATAATGTAAATATCAGATATATCGGATATCTGATATGTGACCCTTATGAAAGGGCCCTTCAACCCTCAAAGGCATCAGGACCCACAGGTTGAGAA